CGACGTAATGCTTTTTGATTTCTTTTTTTTTCTTTCACGACGTAGATTCCCAGGGGCCTGGCGAGGCCCCCAGAGGCAGAAAGTTGCCCCGAGCTCTCCGTCATATGGTGCCTGACGTCACGGGGGGGTCTGGGCCCCCCTCTCCCCCTGGTGTTAAGTCGGGCCTGTCCCTCTACAAGGGGAATATTCGAAAATAGTCAAAACATAGTCTGGGGTGTTTTTTTTTCCCCCCCATTTTGGAGTACTTTTTGGGTATCGTTTGTTCTTCGTCGAAAATGCCCCCCGTGAGGGGGCTGGAGGCAGGAGGAGCCGGCGTGCCGCCGCAGCCCGCGGGCGGGGCGCGCCAGCCTGTGGTGCCTGCAGAGCCCGCCCTACGGCTCCGCGTCCGCGGTCTCGAACTGGTGCCCCTCCGCCCGGCCGCCTGCCTCGAGGGACCCAGAGATCCAACGTATTGAAAAAATCAAGACGGATTTGTTTCGCAAAGTTCGGCCCCTAGGGGCCTTCGCCAAGCCTCGGGACCGTCAAAAAACGACTCAGGATGAAAAGCCGGTCTTGGGGAATGGGTCGAGACTTCCAGGGACCCCGTATTGAAAAATTCACGAGTGACCCTTCACCGGAGTGACCTTTGGTGCGGGCCCATTGGGGTCCTCATATCGCCGAGCGCGAGGCGGCAGTGGCGTCTTGCGCGCCTGAGTTTGGCCCCCCCGCGACCCCCAAAAAACCGCGCACCAAAGGTCACTCTTACCCAGGGTCACTCTTACGTGTAGCCGACCGCATGCCTCGAGGGAGGAGGAGGAGGGGGGGGAGGAGGGGGAGGAGGGGGAGGAGGAGGAGGAGGAGGAGGAGGAGGAGGAGGAGGAGGAGGAGGGTGAAGCGGAGAAGGAGGAGGAGGAGGAGAGGAGGAGGAGGAGGAGGAGGAGGATGAATAGGAGGAGGAGGAGGGGGAGGAGGAGGAGGAGGGGGAGGAGGAGGAGGGGGAGGAGGAGGAGGACGACCACCCGCATGCCCAGAGCGCCCACGAGCAGTCTGCTTCCGTTGCGGCGCCCCGTGCCTCGAGAGGTCGGCCTCTCCGGGGCCCGTGGTCGGCCCCCGCGGGGGCCAGCCATGGAGCCGGGGCGGGAGCGGGCCTTTGGGTACAGTGGAGACCGGTCCACAAGAAACGTAGCACCCCGCAATCGCGGATAAGAGTGAGGGGGCGGGCGCGGGCGACGCGGGCGTCGTCGAACCGGCGGACCTCGTTGCCCCCACCTTCCCTGTCGATGGCGCTGTCCTCCTCCTCCTCCTCCTCCTCCTCCTCCTCTTCCTCGTCCTCGTCCTCATCGTCATCCTCCTCCTCCACCTCGTCCTAACCTTCCACAAGAAACCCAACACTGAGACCCCAGGATGTTCATTGATTCTTGGTGTGGGAGCGTCACGCTATCCATCGCAAAGCCATCTAAACCCAAGAAACCCAGGGCACCCTGGAGGCAAGCAGGGTGTTTCTTGGCATGGGTCTCCACTGTAAGGGGTCGGGACCTGTGGGGCCGCGCATTCGAAACATTGCATGTCGTCGGGTGTCTGCACACCTAGGGGGCCACATGCGAACCCTACCCCTGCCCCCCCTACGATTCCTGAGGGGGGGCAGGGGTAGGGTTCGCATGTGGCCCCCTGACATCCGTACATCTGGTCGTCGCACAACAGCGCGGCGGCAGGTTTTCTTGCACGCTTCCGGTGTGTGCGGGCCCTTGCCCAGGCCTGGGGAGCGTCCCCTGGGGGAACTGGGCCGAGGTCCTTCGGGGCCCAGGTCGCGAATGAGTGCATGCGAGTTCGCAAGAGAGGGACTGGAAGCTCCGCGCATGTCGCCATCAAGGACAGGAGCCGTGTTCTCGGGGCCCCAGGGGCCGCCTGAGGACGATCCGGGATGGCACGCCTGCCCAGTGACAAAAGCCCTGAGGTCCAGCACCCGCTCCCACCGGGCACCACTGCCCGCATGCCAGCATGGGTCTTCGCACACTGGTCCACGGGCGACCTGCGTGCACCGTGCCGCGTGGGGGCGTCTTCCGAGGCGTCGCCGACTTTTTCGAGCCAGGAGCGGCGCGGTGCATGTTCAGGAGAGCTCCAAAACAGTACGCCACCACCGGCCCTGGCCAGGCCCAGCCTGGGCCCTTGGGGCTGGCGTGCGGGCCCTCCTGGCCCAGGCCTGGAGTTCTGCACACCAGTCCCGCTTGACGAACCAACAGCGCACACCCGTACCCACAGGGGGGTCGGAGAGGGCTATGGGTGCGTGTCGTCGGAGGGGGGTCCCCGCTCGAACGGGAGCGTTCCCCAGGGTCCGACGACCCGCACCCATACCCATAGCCAGTTTTCCTCCCAACGACCCCCCTGTGGGTATGGGTGTGTGCTGTTCGTTCGTCGTCCAGGGCCCAGGATGGACCCGGCCAGGGCTGGTGGCGGTGCACTGTAGGCGCCCCTCCACACGTTCCTTCGGCCCCCGGGGCCGCGCAAATTTTGCACCGTGCCG